TTACATGTTGGTATCTGTATTGAACACACACACAGACTTCTATTGTATTGTGATTGGTGCTGTTGAACGGTTGGTATTGCTCATTCCCATATTTTTATTTGCATATTTGTATTTCAGTAGTTTCATCTCGTCCAACTACCTGACTTTGTTGGTTGCCGCCTCGAAGTCGGTCAGTCAACTGTTACAGCAGACTGATCGAGTCGAACAGGCGTGGAGCTCGGACGCGCGTCTGGTTCGGGAGTTTTCTGACTGGGCTCTGCCTGAAGTAAGTTCACTCCCGATCGTTTTCGCATGTACAACGTTGAACGCAGCTGGTAAATTCCTAATTGTGTGTGTGTATGTGCATCTGTTCTATTCACACATTTTCTCTGGGTCGCATTCGGAAGACGTGGTATTCGGAGAACAAAGCCTCACCTGTCCCTCCCCCCCGCCCCCACTCACCCGTCCGTCGCGGTGCTTTGGCGTTCATTTCGATCATCTCTTCGGATTTCACATCCCGATTCTAATGTGAACGACATCAATGACACATTTGTTTTGCCTCCTTTGCTGTGACATTTCCGAACAGATCACTAGAACTCGCACACTTCTGCACTGCTTGTCACTGTCCAGTTGAGTTCGGTGTTTGCAACCCCGTTCATCCGGAGAGATTTGATCCTCGCAAACACGAGATATTTGTAGACTTGTATTCTAAAAGTTTACTTCAATCCGAATAAATGCATCACAATCCATTCCTGGTGTAAATTTATGTAAACGTTGTGGGTACCAAATTGAAAAGGAGAACACCAAAACCTCTTCTTAATAATTCTGGTGTGCTTCAAGGTGCTGTTCTATTTCTATATATATATATATATATATATATATTCTGCTCTTATTAGTGATCTTTCGATCCCACCCCTGTTGCACATCCGCACGTATGCTGACGACGTCGTTCTATGTCCGAGAATTCCATCTCCTTCGGAATTCGATTCTTTCACTGAAAATCAGTTTTCTAATCAATCTGGTCTCAGTTTTAACACTTCTAATTGCGTAGAATGTATCTTCAGTCTTTCCCGCTCCTGATTTCCAACGGACTGTGCTACCCTTGGCTGTAAACTTGTTTCCAGAATGAATTCAATCAAGTACCTGGGTGTCACCATCGATAGCAGTCTTCATTGGTCCACACATTTACAATTGTATGGGAAAACTGAGACGCCTGTCCTTTTAATCACACAAACTCCGGCAATTCCGAACCCCACAGTCAGTCATGTCCTCTTTCGTTCACCAATACATTTTACTCATTCCGCTCTATTTCTTCCCTGTAATGTTTTCCGGCCTGTTATAACAAGACTTCAAACAATTCGTCGTAGTTTGACGATAATCAGTCGTGCATCATTATTCACAGAATTCAATAATGGTCACATCACCTCAATAAGATTCTAGACGACCCTCTTCATCCATTGCATCTCAATCTATCGTCTTGTCATTTCCATCCGTCCATACGTTCCTCTGTTGGGCATCTACCCTCTCGCATAAACATTGATAAAATTTCCCGTGTACCCTACCTGGCCGACTCCTATCCAAAAACGAACAGGTCGCCAGTGAATTATAACAGAAGTTTTGAACAGGAAACAAACTCCACAGACTTTCTACACTTTGCATGTTATACGAAACTGTATATTTCTTTCCGCGTGACCAACCTGGTATATTTTAACTGAAATGTAAGCCTATAAGCTTACACAAGTTTTACAAATACAAATCTTCATTTTGTATAAAATAATACATTCAATCTATGTATATCACAGACTAGTCACAAACCAAGTTTTCTGTTTTCTCACCTTGCTGCATTTTGAACATACATTTTCGTGTCAGTCACAAGTTCACATTTACAATCCACTGCATCTCAAGTTTTAGCGATAGTAACTGTCCGCAGTAATTCTTTATTGGATTGATCACAGGCAGTGTGTACTAGCACCCCCAAATATAAGGAGACCGTTGTAAAGATGACATTGTGTGTTATGTATGGGTCGAAGGGGAAGGGGTTGTTTGCATTCTGTGCGTGTAACGGGTTATTGAACTGCGCTCTCGCCCAAACCAGATTAGGTCGATTAATTGATTTGATGGTGATGTGGTGAAGTGGTGGAATTGGAGCCACGGACACAGATAGACCCCGAATAATCCGGCAACAGCGGCCTAAATTGCTGGCCTACCACCACCACAACCATCACCACCACCCATTAAGAAGAATGCGTCCACACCGTCCGAGCAGATTACCGATCAATGAATCTGTCACATGCATCACTCGCAGCGAATAGCTTAGAGTTGTGAGATAGGTATGCTGCGATCAGTTGGGGCTACCAGTCGCCAATCTGATTGCGATTTGAATAATAGTGATTTGGTTGCACAATTCACCGATTTCATCACTCCCGATCAATATTTTTATAGCACTCTCTGTATACTTATTCCATTTCCTCGTAATTCCGATTCTAATCGGACCAACTCTTTCAATCAGTTTCATCCAGGCTGTTAAAAGTTAGCCTACCGCCCGTTTTGACCGCGGGTTTTCTCTGTGCGTTTTTATTTATTTGTTGTTCTAACGATAGTTACCGTAATTCCTATGATATCGATGATGATAGTAAAATTAAGAACACATTTTCTCATTCAACAATCAGAGCAGAAGTTCCATGGTTCACTCTCTTCCTTGTTCAGGTCCGTTGTCGTCTCGTATGCCTGCGCCAGTGGAGTGGTACCCTGACCTCATTGAAACGCGGCATGCATCAACTGTGCGAATTTTTGCATTGTCCAACGTCCATTCAATGTGCCACTCACGTGGCCTCTGTCCGACAAACCACCGATATGGGTGCCTCGGAACGGGATTCCAGTGGTAAGTGTCACGCACACTTTTATCCCGTTAGCCCACGGACATTTTTGTACTAACCTATCATGATGGTGAGTATTGTTATTGCACAACGTTATAAAGTGACGTGCGAGCAATGTGGTTACAAATCAACTCCGGTTTTGTCATAACTTTGGCCCCACATTGACTTTAACCGGATGGTTTGGGCAATCTCTCATCTCAAACAAATACTAATCTCTTCAACTGACGCAACAGTCCTTTTTATTCCATTACTCTGATTGTCTGTTCTATTCAATCCCGATACTCTCTTGTTTCAGATTGGTGGCTAGATTATTACCATACTGTGATTTGTTTCGAGTGCATTATCTGTTATGTTTTTTTCTCCTTCATTGGTTTTGCGTCCTCATTGAGTGTGCTTTCAACTTTCCCGAATCTGTCAATATTATTATTATTATTATTATTATTATTATTATTTTCATTGTAAATTGATTCTGGGACTGGTTGTTTTCGGTGGAATTGGCATTCGTTGTACACTCCATGTGAAAACGAGGTGACTCGCTGTGCGGAAAGCAACACTTACCTGGCTGTGAAACAATGTGTATAGTTGTGTTTTCGTGTATGATACAGACTTGCTACACCCAGCGTTTAGAGCAATCAGCTCTTCTGCGAAAAAAGAGAAAACGGGGTGTGTGCATTTTTCAGGGGTTCATTGTAATAGTTGTTCATTTGGATCGCTGATTTGCTCTTGATCTTCACTTACACTCCACGGCCAATGAAATTTAAGTCTCAGGAGTTTTCATCATCATCATCATCATCATCGTCATCATCATCATCATCATCATCATCATCATCCTTCTTTGAGGGAGGGGGAAGGTTAACCTCTATGATTAACACGGAGCGTACTCAGTCGAACTCTGCATATATACCGCTTTAAGCATTCTGTCCTGACAGGAAATGACAACAAAAACACCGCTGCTGTCGGTTCGGTGCCATATTCTTAAATGTCTCCAACGAATCAGTCGCGGAGTCTTTCGGACCCCGACTTGAAAGGCACGTGACACCTATTCTATCTACTGGCTCTGTGCATTTTTTCATGCCCCATTGTCCCGTCGTCTGTTGCCCTTCGTGTGGTTTCCTCCAGCCCGGATTATCTACAGCGAATAAAGCGCGGTGCGGCAGTCGACAGCTAGGCATACTCAAGGTGCGCCCTAACCAGCAAAACCTACTATGCAAGTAGGTTTATTCCTTATAAACTCCCAAACACGCGACGACGTGATATTGAGCTGTATGATAAAAGCTGTCTGTCATCGCAGGAGTCATGTTGACGGATTCGAAACCTCAACCCTTGCGGTGTACCGGATGCATGAAATGTGCTAAGCTTCCCGGACATTTTTTTATTAAGTGAATTGATTCTTAAAGCGCAGTGACGATATTCACTGACTGAAATTGAACGGTAGCTCGGGAAATAGGTTACCTGTGTAGCATACACTGTCGTATTAGTGAGAGACAGTTCTAATAATTAGCCTTATAGTAGGGAATGTACATGATTATTAAGGGAACAAGAGGAATGAGGGCAAAAAAGATAAGAGTGACAGTTTGAATAACCCATTGAGACACTCTATAAATGACCCGAAAATTAGGAATCCATCGGAAAATAATGCATTTTTGTGCGTGAAAAATTCCAATCACCCTCCCTCCCCGTTTGTTTTTGTTGCACACTATCGTCGGATGGATAAGCCGATAGTCACAAGGGGCTGTTATTTTCCGAAAAAGCTAGTGACAAGCATTCAAACTGCAGCAACACAAAACATGCGGGAATAGGTGCCGTGTTCTTTACTGAAGGCATCCCAACCTTTGTCATTGACGTAAAGGAGGGTGTGAGAATAGTCTGGCTTTTTTTTTGGGTGGTCTCACGACTGTGACATCTATTGGAACCAAACTATCAGCTGTTACACATGCCGATTTTCCTTAATATTCTCATCGAAACTGACACCTTCCGGGAGTCGATCACTGTCTGGAAACGACGAGCAGTGACAAACGTGCGGTTCATGTTGATGTGTAGCAACTGATAAAGCCCAAGCTGCTCAACAGTCTCTTATGCTCGGGTTCCAGTCTGATCTGACTC